AACTCCCATTTTAAAAACAAGTATACATGGCCCACTCCAGCTGCTTTTAATCTTCTTTTTGAAACTTTTTCAGAGTTATGTTATACATAGTATTCATTTCCTTATAACCCATTCTTTATTTTCTTTTATATTTTAAACTACATTGTTTTTTTTCAGATTCATGTGTGAAGTTTTATTTAGGGTTTTGAATAGCTAATCTATGTGCACATGATTCAAAGGTATTAAAGTATATAAAAATAGAGTTTATCTTCCATCATTTTACCCTACCATCCAGTTTCCCTCCTTCTAGAAAACTACTATTATCTACTGTTTTTAAAACATATTTTCATATAAAGGCTCATTTTTCTTTGTTCCGTGATAAATGATAGTATTTCAAACATACTGCATTGCAACTTTTTCTGCTAACTTAGCAGACTTTGCAGATCTTTTAATTTTAACATATGGAAAGCTACCTAATAATTTTAACACCTGGACAGTATTCCATTGAATATATATACAGTTTTTCCTAGTTATCTATTAGGCATAGGCCCAAGACCCCCCACCCCCGCAGTGAATGCCTGAAACCATGAATAACTCCAAACTCTCTATATATACACTCTGTTTTTCCCTATCCATACATACCTATGGTAAACTTTAATTCATTAATTAGGCACAGTAAGAGATTACCAACAATAACTAATAACAAAGAACAATTAGAACAATACTCAGAATGACATGCAATTTACAACATGATTTTTGTATGTCTGAGATTTTCCATTTAATATTTTTAGACTGCAGTTGACTGCCGGTAGCTGAAACTAGGGAAAGTGAAACTGAATAAGGAGGGACTACTATATATAGATTATTTGGCTTGTGTTCTGTGTATACATATTTATGTTGTTTTCAATTGTTTGCTTATATACAAAACTGCAAAGAGTAACTGTGAACATCTATTATTATTTTACTTAAGTGCAGACATATCTGTAAGATAAATTCCTAGAACTGGAATCACTAGGTCACCAATCTGTGTTCAACTCTTAAAGATCAATCTTGTCACTACCATTTTGACTGAAATAGCTTTTATGAAGGTAATGTAAAATTCCAAGATAATTCTTTCCCTTTACATAATTTTGTACTTTAGCAACATTGGACACAGCTGATCATCACTTCCTTTTTTCTTAAAAAAAAAAAATACTTTCTTCTTTTGGCTTCCATAACATCACACCCTTCTGGATTTTTCCCTATTCCACTAACTGCTCCTTCTCAGTTTCCTTTTATGGCTCCTACCCTCTTCAATATCCATATTTTGGACTGCTCTAGAACTCTTTTCTCAGCTTGATCCTTTAAATACATTCTCCCCTGAAATTATTTCATAAAATCCCATTCTTTTAAATGCCATTTATATAATGATGACTCACACATTCTTATCTCCAACTCTGGCTTTTTCCTTGAGCTCTGTCCCATCTACCCCTGTTATGCCTGCACCTGGATATCTAGTAAGCAGCTCAAAATGTAACTGTTCCTTAGTCTTCTTTTATCAGTTAGTGACAACTGTATTTTTTCCTGTTGCTCTGGTCATAAATCTAGACACGAGCCTCGATTCCTTCCCTTCCAACACCAACCATATCTAATCTATCATCAAGTCTTGTCACCTTTGCCTCCAAATACATCCAGAATTCACACACTTCTCACCATCTCTACAATACATCCTGGTTAAAGACTAGGCTGGCAAACACTAGTGACTGTCTGACAGCCTTCTTCCTTCCCCTCTTGTCTTCCAACAGAAACTCTCCACAGAATAGCAAGAAGTCATTGGTGAAACAGTTTCCTGCTGAAATGCTTTCACATCTTCCCACTGTACATAGAAGAAAATAGGAACTCTGTACCCTAGGTTAAATGGACACATAGTACTTCTGAGAGAAGGAAATAACACAAAGAAATTGGAAAGATTATGAAATTCATAGAGTTTCCCCTTTTACATACTCACTGATGTAATTTTTGCCTATTTATGTTCATTTCTAGGCTCTAAAATATGTCCCTTTTGTTCCTTTTCAAGTGGAAGGATCATGTCTGTTTCAGATGTCAATTTTGAGTTTTCCTACTGCACTTCAAGGTTCTTCACTTTTAGATCAGAAATTAGTATTTCTTCTCTAATTTAAAGCTGAGGGAATGGAAAAGCAAAGTTTCCACTTCCAGGGCACAGGAACTGTGGTTCTAGGTTGGATCACCATATATGTTTCCCTAGGGGTTTCTGGACCTGGCCACTAAAAAATTAATAGTGAACAACCAGAAGGCAACACACAGCATCTTGTTTACCCTGCCTCAAACAGCATCCCGTCCATCTTTCATATAGGAAAAAAAAGAGAATCCTGCCATGGTTTTGCAAATATCACTATGTCCATGTTGTTTTACATTATCCAGTTATTACTAATGTACCAGAGAGTGCCCTTCAAACATCCTTAAAATGATTCCAGTAAAAGTTAATCAAATTTAAAAAAGACCACATTTGCTAGATAAGAAAATTTAAACTATCACCCCTTTTATTTCGGATTAAGAAGTAAGTTGGCCAGGCGCTGTGGCTCATGCCTGTAATTCCAACACTTTGGAAGGCCAAGGCGGGCAGATCACAAGGTCAGGAGATCGAGACCATCCTGGCCAACGTGGTGAAACCCCGTCTTTAATAAAAATACAAATCAGCTGGGCGTGGTGGCACATGCCTGTAATCCCAGCTACTCAGGAGGCTGAGGCAGGAGAATCACTTGAACCAGGGAGGCAGAGGTTGCAATGAGCCAAGATTGTGCAACTGCACTCCAGACTGGTGACAGAGAGAGACTCCATCTCAAAAAAAAAAAAAAAGGATCAGTCATAATTTTGAAAGTCTTTGTAAAAATATGCACCCAACTTTAAATAAAAACAAAATATTTTCTAAGAAAAGTATGTATATAATTTTAATTAACAGCTTTATAGTAGTCTTTATAAGAACAATAAAAAATATAACTAGTTAAGTAAAACATTCATTTTTAAAAAGTGAACAAACTGACTTTACAAATGTGCTGTTGCTCAATCCCACCCATTTATATAATAAAATTTGGCTAATGAGGCAAAAATGGCAGAAAGTGCATTATTCTTTAAAGTCCTCATTCCAACAAATAAGTTATTTGTACGTTGTTGAAAGGGAACAACCCCTTAATATAACTTAAGCTCATTAGCTCTGTAATAAGCCCACGTGGATGAAGCGTGAATAAATGATTCATACTAACTGAAAGATGTGTGGAAAAATACACTGAACTTCCTTGGATTAAAAATTAGTAAAATAAGTTATTTTCACAGGAACTCCTAAGTTAATATCAGGCAAGTGTAAAATTTATTCTAGAAACATCTGAGTTTGTTCCTTCATTGAACCACCTCTCCCAAAGCTTAGAAAACCCCTTTTGATGGCAAACAGTGAATAAATACTTTCATTCTCAAGACTGACTTTGAAACAAAGATTAGAACGGGGTTGGGGCGGGGGAAGCAAGAACGACTCTTTCCTTAGGGAAGGCACGAAGTGGTGATGCTTGGACCTGTTTATGAGTTTTGGGAGGGGAAAATGGAGAGGAGAAAGAGGAAGAGACTGTAAGCCCAGAGGCGATGGCAGAGTCTTCCTCGGGTTTGCTTCTGCTGTGGATACCCTCACTTTATCAGCGGAAGGTAGCCCAGAGTCCATTCCACCTCTGGCAAGAAACACACAGACAAATGGGGCACACCAAACGTAAGCATCATTAGACTGTTGATCATCAAATCAAATTTCAAAGATTTGTATGTAAACGGAACTAGAGCGAAACCCATTTTAAAATTTGTACTGTTTTCCTGTTTTCTCTCTCTCTCTCTCTCTCTTTTTTTTTTTTTTTTTTGGCATAGCACATCTACTAAAATTTAATCAAATTGCAATAATTATATATCTGTTCCAGAAGATGGGGGAGAGGTTAATGCCACCTGCTTATGTCATCTTAAATATTCACCTAACAAATCACCTTAACTATATTACCATCGTCAAGGTGCCTGGGAAGTAATTAACATGCAGGAAAAACAAAATCTATTCCTTAGGGCTTCTTCCAAAGTGCCTGTCCTTGGGAAAGGCTCTCTTATCCAGGGCCCCATCAGTGGCCACCTCTTTCATGCAAACTGAAATAACCTCAACATCAAATCCAGCATTGGAATCTCCCCAAATGCCCATCTCCGTTTGCATTTTTTTCTCCTCATCCCTGAGGTCTCCCAGCCCCTTTAGGGACAGGAACCCTGAGGATGAACCCTCATTCTGCCGGCCTCTCGAATTCCTCTTTCTCTTTTGCTTGATCGCCCCTCCAAACAGGAAGGCGCCAACAACCCTACCTTGAGTCAGACCTGCGGCAGCCAGGCAAGCTGCAGCTGCGAGGTAGCAGCTCTCTCTGACCCTTTTACCTCAATGGTTCGTACCCGCGGGAAATTAAGTTGGAAAACTGCAAGCGATTTCCGATCTACGGCTTCTTCCAGCTCCTCACATTTATCTTACCGTCCCCCACGTGAATCCTCCCAAGATCCCACCGAGAGATGGATTCGAAGACTCTCCCCTCTTTCCACTGCTGGATTCTGGCCCGTGCCCGGTCTCTCTCCACCCCAGCGGCTCCCCGAGGTAGGAGCGCCGGGAGCCTGCGCCCTAAGTGGGATCTCGCAGGCTTGGACTGCCACCCCTCGCCCTTGGGCCCGGGTCAGACCCCTCCCTCCCTCCCAGCCTTGACCACTGTCTCCGCCTAGCACCACGAAACTTCGCCCCCAGGGAGCAGGGGTTGTGGGCAGAAAGAGGAAAGAGCAGTTCTTGAATTCCTGCGCTGTTGGATCAAAGTAGTGTGGGAAAGGACTTGGCGCCGGCTTCCCAGCGTTTCCGCGGAGAGCAGGCGCTGTCCAGCCTCCCACTCCCCAGGTCCCCACGCCCCTTCCCCACCTGCGCGCCAGCTGCGGGCGTGACGCGCACTCCCCGGCTCAGCGCTGTTCCGCACACTCACCCCCGGCGCTCCCTGCAGCAGTCGGGGCTGGCAAGGTGGTGCCCCCAGCCCCGGGGTGCGGGAGGGCAGGGGCGACCCCACGGGGCGGGAGGACAGCGGCGCCTGTCGCCAGCTTTCGGGGCCGCGGCGGTGACTGCGCGCGGGGGAAGTCTTGCGCCGCCCTTGCGGGTCCCTTGCGCCTGCGGGCAAGCGGAGGTCCGAGGCTCTCCAGCACGCCTAGCACCCCTCTCTTCTTGCCTTCCTCGCTTCCTTCCTTCAACACCCCTCTCTCCCTTTCTCTCTTGCTTCTGTCACTTTTTCGCCTCCCTGCCTCTTCTCTCCTCCGTCTTCTCCCTCCCCTTTCACTGATGCGTGGAAAAGGGCGGGGGAGAAAAAGAGTCCCGTCTCTTTAACTTGAGTGATACCTTGGAGATTATCTGTTCATGGAATCTGAAAATGACGTGGATCACTTTTCCGAAAACATTTAAAATAAAATGATTTTTGCCTTGTATTTTTTCATCTTTGCGTCTTCTTCCCAGTGACTCTTTTTATCCAGCTGGGTGGCTAACAATGAGAGAGGTCAGATAAAGAAAGCAAAACGGGAATTATAGGTAGCGGACTTCGGAAGTGGGATCGTGAACAGCCCTTGAGTGGGCCCAGGAATTAATTTACCCACAATTTCATAAAGAAGGCATTTTCTGAAAAAGAAGTGGTGTTGTAGCATGAGAAGGAAGATAGGCAAGATAATAGGGTCGGGATTTATTCACAATTTTATTCTCAGGCATCTCTGGTGGTTTATCCAGGAGATGCCTTAGCATATGCTTGTAGTGCTTTGACCCGGAGAGAATATGTGAACTTTTCAGTTTCTGGCCTTAAATCTTTTTCGACTAATGTTTGGTAGCCTGAAAAGATTCCAGTTAGCCTGCCAGGAATTCCCCAAACCTGCTTTAAAAGACCTTAGAAACTTGAATGCTTCTTGGAAAGTGGCAATTTTTCACCACTGGAACAGGTCTCCAATGCTGAGAAAGATGGGACAGAATTTTTTTTTTTTTTTTTTTTTTTGTGCAGAGCACCGCCTATGTAGTCCACAGATGCACCTTCCCAAGACTGAGTTTTGCTCTGAGACTGATCGTCTTAGATTCATATTCCCAGAAAAGAGCTACTGTTAACGAGAGGTCTTTTCTGTTCTCCCATTTCCCAACTCTAAGTTGATCTTAGCTAGATGAGTCTTTCTTATAGACCAAGCCTGTGCTTTCCAGCCCACCTTCCATCCATTGGTGAAGTCATCCACGATATTCTTCTGGTGTCATATATTTAAATGAGCTAGCGTATATCAAACACTAAGCATAATGCTTGGCACTTAGTACTCAGAAATGTTAGCAGAAGTATAGGTAATGACGTCAGATTATCATTAGCATTTATTTTATGTTTTAATTCTCTCACATAAATCTTTAGCCTCAATTTCCTATCCCGTGACTTGCACAGTTCTTGTGTTTGTCCCTTATAAATATATGACAGTGTGTTCATGGCTACTCTTAGCAGAGGACAGTGAAAATAATTTCAGAGGAAGTCCTGATTTATAACTTTCATAATAGGACACAGTAATTTCTCTGGAAGACATGATATTGATCGCCTTGATTTTACATTTGTAACTGAAAGTAATTTGTAACAAATCTTGTAGATGACAGTCATGGATAAAGTCCAAAGTTATATTTCCTCAACAAGCAGATTAAGAATATCTCCACTTTATACACAGAGTTTCTGCAATTATAGTGCAAACAGCAGGTTGTCCAATAGGAACCAACTTGCAATCTGGAGAACCGAAGACCTCAACTTTAAGGTGTTTCCAGATGACATATTTGAACTTACACTGTTGGAGTTTACAATTTAATGATATATCTTGGGAGTAGTTATGTTAAGTGAAGGTGCGGAAAATACCCCATCTATGATGCAAAAGGAATATACAGTTTCAGATGCTTCTGCTGTTGCTACTGCAGCAAACAAATTGGTTAGGTATCGGTGATGAAAATGCACCTTGCGTGCTGCAACAGGACATTGTGCCCTAGAGGTATTTCATTTGCTATTCATTGCACAGATATTTAACCTGGCAGGCAGGACACAGTCACGGCACTCAGCAAGGGATTCTCTGAGTAGCGGATGCCATAGAATTAACACTGTAGGCTGCTTCTTTAGATAGACTACATTTTAGAGGCCTCGCTCTCAGTGAGAAAGAGGCCCAGAATCTCAGTTAACTTTTAAGTTCACTGCTTTTAAATTGTTTAAAGTGAATTAAAGTTCAGACAAGTTCTTTCTGAATGCTTAGGAGAAAGATCCAGAAAACATTGGTGCTTTTAAGACCTTGTTTATTTCTAATTTTAGATACACAGAATGAGGGACATGTCTTAATAGGCAACACACTTATTGTCTGTTCTTTGAGCTTTTGGCAGAAAGGATATTTTATTAAGGACAAATTGCACTAATTTGGTGATATCGATCTCAGTTTAAGACAAGTTGAATCTCTCTTGTTCTTTTCAATTAAGCTGACTGTGAACTGTAAAAAACAGTCACAAAGTGTAAAATTAAGGAAAAAAATCCAAGAATTTGTAAAAGGATGTGAGTAGTGTAGACAAAACTAGTACAAATAGTGCAGGCCTAAATAGCATAACCCTTAATAGTTTATGTTTTTCTTGAGTTATTTGGTTAACTGAGGAAGACTAACCTCATTTCAGATATCTCATAAGATATACTGACTCATCCCATAACATCAAAAGGTCAATTTTTAGGTGCATTATTTTAAGTACCTTTTAACTGTATTTTGAAAAAAATACTGCAGAGTAAAATAAAAATTCGCAATGCAAATAAAAGCAATCAAATAAGCAATTGCTTCCTGGCTTATGGGAAAAACATTTTAGTTTTTTCATAATTAGTCAGATGACTGTGTGCAATCATTAAATTCAGGTAATTGCTTACTTCTCCTTTTGGAAGGAAGTCAAATAGAAAGATATGAGAATGTTAAATAAATATAATTATAATTTAATAATTCTATAATATGTAGGTTAAGACTGGATTGGAAATAATCCACTGCAAAATAATCTTTATTTGCTTGTAAGTAGAAAATATCCCTAGGCTATTCTCTAGAAAATATTATCATATCTAAAGCACTGACCAAAAATTGGGTTTATAGTTTAAATTCATTTTTTATAGAAATATTTTTTAAATTTTTAAATTTTTTATTTTATTTTATTTTTCTTCAATTCTTATTTTAAGTTCTGGGGTACATATGCAGGATGTGCAGGTTTGTAACACAGGTGAACATGTGCCATGGTGGTTTACTGCACAGATCAACCCATTGCCTAGATATTAAGCCCAGCATCTATTGGTTATTCTTCCTGATGCTCTTCCTCCCCCTGCATGCCCCCTAAAAATGACAGGCCCCAGTGTGTGTTGTTCTCCCACGTGTCCATGTGCTCTTGTCGTTCAGCTCCCACTTATAAATGGGAACATTCAGTATTTGGTTTTCTGTTCCTGAGTGAGTTTGCTGAGGATAACAGCTTCCAGCTCCATTCATGTCCCTGCAAAGGACATAATCTTGTTCCTTTTTGTGGTTGCATAGTATTCCATGATATACATGTACCACATTTTCTTTATCCAGTCTGTAATTGCTAGGCATTTGGGTTGATTCCATGTCTTTGTTATTGTGAATAGGGCTTCAGTGAACATGTGTGTGCATGTATCTACATAATAAAATGATTGCTAGGTCAAATGGTATTACTGCTTCTGGATCTTTGAAGAATCACCATGGTCTTCCACAATGGTTGAATTAATTTACACTCTCACCAACAATGTAAATACATTAATTTTTCTTTACAACCTCGCCAGCATCTGTTATTTCTTGACTTCTTAATAATTGCCATCTGACTGCTGTGAGATGATATCTCATTGTGGTTTTGATTTGCATTTCCCTAATGATCACTGATGTTAAAAATCATAGACATTCCCGTTCTAGTTAGATAAATTTACGAGTTATTTTCCAGACATATACAATATGTCTGGAATGTGACAGATAGTGAAGGAGATGACTGAATGAGAAGGTCCCAGGTTGGTCATTATGCAACAATCTTGTCTTAGGCTGTAGTTAGCTCATCTCTAATATTGGGTGGGTCAGTAGTGAACAAAAGAACACAAGCATCAAAATGATCTCTTATCTGTTGCCGCAGTGTTCCTTGGCTCCAGAACTGAAAGAATTGCAGCACAACGTTTTGCACATGATAATGAGTGATATGGCTGGGCAAAAATGTTAAACGCTATGTGATTTGCATCTACTGTGATGGAAAAGTAACAGTTGATCAAATTTACTTTAAATAGATGTTAATGATACTAAACTACCATATAATCAAACTCTCCAGCTAAAAACCCATTATCTCAAGACATAGTTAATGTCAGTATATCCATGCCTCTTGAACATTTTAATGTTATTCTCAGTTATACCATAGTTGTATTTTAGCTAGAGTCATTGTTTGTATTAGTCTTAATACTTTCAATACCATTTCACAATCTCTCACTTATCCTGTATGCGGTAAGGCAATAAGAAAATTTTAGTTATATCTCTGCATTCATGATGAATCTGGTCATAAATGTCACAAAGGACCCTTGCAGTAGACTTGAATTAAATTGGCTGTTGATTTCATCTAACCATTAACCTGCTTGATGACTTAAAAAGATACTTAATTTCAATTCAATTCAATATCTTTCAATTTCAACTTTCTAAAATTTCATATGAGAATAAGGCAATTCTATCTGTCTCCAGAAGTTACCTTGAGTATACCAGAGTGTAGTATATGGACTTTCGTAAAAAGGGTAATGTATTTCACAATATTAGACCAAATTTATGTGATGAATCTAGCAATAAAATCAAAACAAAACCATCTGGCTTTTGTTGGGATATCAATAAAAACACCTGATGGAGTATCTTAGAATCTGCTAATCTTTGGGTTAAAATTTTGTCCTGTCAACACAAAGCAAATATTAAAGGGAAAATATTTCATAGAAATGTAAATTGCTGCTATAAAGCTTCAGGACAACCAGGTAGGGTGACTTGTATGCATTTCTACCAGTGGCTACTCCGCCCATTGTAGTACCCTATGATAACATTCCGAAAAGTTGTATCTATATATAAGGTAAACAGGTTTTTCCCTCTTCTCTTCACAGTTGCTACTGGTCATTTTTATGTAGTTATGTAGATAATATCAAAACAAAATAAAGATGCTTTTGAAAAATCAGGATAAAACCCATACTGGATAATTGCCCGTTCTTCATAGTATGTGTAAAATAGTGTAATTAATGTCTACTCCTGGAGTTTTACTAGAACAAAAGAATAGACCTGAGTGCTTGACATGGAACCCAATTATCCCAAAACATTAGCAATTAGGAGATTGTTTAATATGTGTCCTTGATGGAGGAAAAAAATTATGATTATTTAGAAAATACTATTTGTTACATCTTTATATGTATTCTTCTGGTGAATGTGAAATGAGACAAATTAACTAACAGCTTGCTAAAGCTGTTGATGTATTATTATTGCTTAATTAAATGCAATACTTGAAGAGTTTTAATACAATTTGTTCAAAGCTCATTGCCAATTCTTTAACCATTTAACATTCCTTTATCATAATAGCACAAAGTTGGAAACAGCCCAATCCAGCTGTAGATTAACATGAATGTGCTCTACTGTTACAATTGTAGTCCTACTAAGATCATCTGATGAAGTAGAAAGTTTCTTTGAAATAGAGTTTACATATAAGTCTTTTAGTTTTCAAAGGGAGAAAAGTTTTTCAATATTTTTATTATACAATTTTTCTTATATGATCTTGAAAAGTGCATATTTATATGTGTAATTGCATTAGTTAGTTTTAAAGTATGTCTTAGTCCTTCTTTGGGAAGAAGACTCTCCCAAACA